TTGCAAATATTTTCTTCTATTTTGTGGGTTGTCTTTTCACTTTGTTGACAGTGTCTTTTGATGCTCAAGAGTTTTTAATTTTTATGAGGTCCAATTGATGTATATTTTACTGTTGCCTGTGCTTTGGTGTCAGATCCAAGAAATCATTGCCAAATGCAGTGTCATGAAGCTTTTCTTCTATATTTTATTCTAAGTTTTATAGTTTTTAGCTCTTCTGTTTAGATCTTTGATCCATTTTGTGTTAACTTTTGTATGTGGTGTTAACATGAAAATTCAATTTCATTCTTTTGCATGTGGATATCCAATTTTCCCAACATCCCTTTGTTAAAGAGACTTATTTCCCCATTGAATGGTCTTGGCAGTGTTGTCAAAAATTATTTGACTGTATATGTAAAGTTTTATTTCTGGGCTCTCCATTTTATTCCATTGGTCTACGTGTCTGTCTTTATGGCAGTAAACTACTATAGTTTTGCAATAAGTTTTGAAAGCAGAAAGTGTGAGACCTCCAACTTTATTCTTTTTCAGATTTCTTTGGGTTATTGGAAGTCCCATGTGATTTTAGGATGGATTTTTTTCCTATTTATGCAAAAATCTCATTGGGATTTTAATTGGGAATGCACTGAATCTACAGATTGCTTTGGGCAGTACATATTGACATATTAATTCTAATATCTTCCAATACATGAATGTAGGATTTTGGTGAAGCCATTTGAAAATTTCTGTTTCCTGTTTTCTGTTCTCTGTTCATTTCTCTCCAATATTCAACAAATACTTATAGAGTACCAGCCATGGCTTTGGAGTCTTTGGGATACATCAGTGAACAACTTGGATAAAATTTCAGCCCTCATAGGCCTTACATTCTAGTAGCATAGAAAAATAATGAATAAAATTTAATAAACAGGAAATGGTATGCAAGGAAATAGTAAGTGTTATGAAAATAGAGCAGAGTAAGGGGGACCAAGAGTTGGGAGGTAGGATAGGGTGGAGGAGGACAGGCTGAGATTGTAAATAGGATGGTCAGGGTAGGATTTGTTGAAAGGTGAGGGCTGATGTAAGCTGAAGGAAGTGAGGGTGTAAGTCATGTGGATATTTGGAGAAAGATAATTCCAGGCATAGAGAAGAGACAGCCCAATGAGAGATTATCCTTGCTGTATTTTAGCATGAGCCTGCAGGCCGTTTGGTTATTTTGTAAATAAGAGTTAAGTTCAGGCTTATTAAAGCAGTCAGAATAATTGCTGAGATGAATGTCACAATCCTGAAGTAAGTTCGTTTTGTATTGTATTATGGTCTCTTTTCTATCATGGAAAAAAAACCCCTCAATAGCTTAATCTATAATACATCAATTCAAAAAGATGATTCTTCATTTCTAAAAGGTATCTTTGCAAGTACTTTTTCAGAATTATGGCAAATACATATATCAGAATACAGTAAATGTGTGTCAAAAGTAATTTTTAAGCAATTATGTTTTAGTTTTATGAGCTAGAGAATTATTTTTTATTCCATGACTGCTAAAGGTCTAGGAAAAAAATGAACATTGCTATGTAGAGTGCAATTTACTGTAATCATTAAATAATTAATTATTTACCCACTGTGACTTTTTTTATATTCTTAAAGAATAAACAACTGGGTATTCCAAAAGGTACAGTTTAGAAGTTGTAAGATTTGTTTCAATTCTAACTCTTGAAATTCTTTACTGTTTAATTTTGAGGAAGTCACTTTAGGCTTCATTTTTTCCCTACTTGTTGGGAGTTTTGTTTGTCTTAAATGAGATTTGTCTAAGAGCTTTCTGTTTCTAAAATGCCTGTGCTTTTGTCATTCTGTGATAATAGTTTTTTATTGTTTTATCACATAGTGATGCGCTGCTTTACATATTTGTCTTACGGAGAAATTTAAAGAAGAAATTATATTTTAGGACCAATTTCTGTTCTTGTCCAGTGTCCAGCTCTAATACTGCTTATTTTCTGTATCTTTTCAAGATACTTCAGAATTAATTGCTTCTTCACCTGGGCTACTACCATCACGCTTCATGCATACTTCTATTAACACTTTTGATAATATATTATAGTTACATTTTTATTTTCCTATCCACGAGTTACCTATCTTTGTATCCCCAAAACTCTAAAATACTTTGTGCACATTTGGTGTTCAGTTATTTTTAATCGAATTCTCATGCCCGTATATGTAAAGACCAGTGGTTAATTCCTAGTAGTTAAAATAGCAGAAATTAAAATTGTGTTCAATAACATTACCACTTGAAAGGCTGTATTCCATAAATGAATGTTTCTTCTGGTTGAAAACTCCTTTTTCAGACTTCTAACAAGATTTAATTTGGTCTTTTGGTCTGACTTTTACTTATATGGCTGGCATAAATGCTTATTTGCATGACTCAAGTCGATAGATGTAAGAAGTAGTTATCTTGTCACTGATTGTGAAATCACTAAAGTGGATGATTATTACTGATTACCTCCTACTTGTTCCTTTGCATTTTGGATCAAAAGCACAAATTTCATAAAGATTAAGTGTTCTAAGAGTTATTCATAAGTGTGTTTTTATGTAGTGATATAATTTTCAGCAGGCATTCATAACCATTTACTGGATGATGACCCCTTAAATATAATGAATCAGAATATGATCCTTATTTTGTTTAGATTTTCTAATTCTTTTCAGCTCCTCCTAATCCACATCTCTCTCTCATTTAGAAACTTTTTTTAAAGAACTGTTGATTGATTTATTCAACAGCTGTATGTTTAACATCTACTATATGCCAGGCACAGAGTTAGGCATTATTAGATTTGTAAGTGAGCAAGATAGATAAGGTCTTTGCTGTCAGAATTAACAGATAAAGAAACATTTGCCCTTTTAGCCAGCATTTCCTAATTATCTACCATACCAATAGGTGTCATTCTGGGAACCGTGGATACAGTAGTAAAAATAACAAAGTCCCTTCCATCTGTAGCTTATGTTCTGATGAAGGAATAAAATATACAGGGAAGACCTTTCTGAGACTGTGATGTTTAAGCTGAGATATGAAGGATGAGATGGAACCGAAGAAAAAGACTGAGACCAAAGAGCAATTACTGGGGGAGGGTATAGCTCAGTGGTAGAGCACATGCTTAGCATGCTTGAGGTCCTGGGTTCAATCCCCAGTACCTCCATTAGATAAACAAACAAACCTAATTACCTCCCCCCCCAAACAAACAGAATTAAATAAATAAAATAGAATATATTTTTTAAGAGAGCAACTACTGATAATATGTGGAATGAACTCCTTATGTTTGGTGCACATTGGTTAGTAGATTTTGAGATGCGAAGATTAAGGAGTTTATTATTGCTGCCATTTTTTTCACTTAATTATTCGATGAGGGCGTTGGGAAGTTTTGGGGAGGGGATGAACAGCAAAGAGGCAAGGCTTTGTGGAGAGAGAAGTTTGAGGAGAAGGATCACTGTGAAATAGTCTCTCCAGAGAGAAGGGGATGTACAAACCTGGGAAGTGCGGTAGGATTGCTGGGCGCTGCTGGAGAGTCTAAGTTTTCATCCTGAATTTAAAGTGAAACCGTTCGGTATGGTTGTGTGGTTTTCTCCAGCTACAGGTGCAGGTGTGAATAAGATGTAGAGCTTAACCAGAGTTGGTTTTTTCGCCCCAGGGGAGGAAGAGAGGCAGAAGCGTGCTGAGGGCATTTGCAGGGAAGTCCTAATCATTCAAGCTGTAGAATTGATGTGGGGGAAGAAGAAAATGAAGAGGGAGTGAGGACTGAAGAGAGCTGATGAATATAAAGAAAGTGAGGAAGCAGTGGATTGGTGGATTGGATGAGGTTGAACGTCCTGGTCAGACAAGTCAATTTCATGGGCTAGTAGTATTATGTGATAGTAACACATTTATTAAGAGATGTGCTTCTATGGGTATGCACACACATACAAGCGCTACTGCAGTCAACTTTTTAACATTGAAAAGAGTGAGCTTTTGCATAGGTAATTTAAAAATTCTGAGGGCTGCCACAAGTTCTGTTTGCTCTTTCTGTTCCTTTTTTTTTTCTTAGTCATTTTATACAAATGGTTGAATGCAATATACGGAGAATGTGAAAGGTTGAAAGCACCACTTGGAAGATTTTACCTCAGGTTATATATAAAATTTCCTTTTTAAAATCACTTGGCCTCATTGGCCGTATTCTCCCAACTATTTCAGCCCTGTGGTAGGTGCTGCGCATACAGTGGTATCAGATCAGGGTGGGTTCAGAGTGCCCTGGAGTACAGAGGTGGTCATACAACCCAGATGGGATGGAGGGTGGTCCCATCTGGAGGAAATGACCTCTAAACTAAGATCTGGAAACATAAGTAAGAGTTAGAATTTAGCAGAGAAGCCACAGGCAGAAGTGGGAGGAAATTGTGTATGTTAAGATCCTCAAACAAGAAAGAAGTAACCTAAGGGATCCCAAGTGGCTGGTTTGTAGTGTCTGAGGGAAGATGTGTTGAGATATGAGGCTAGAACATTAAGCAAGGACCATAGATTAAAGGACCTGGTAGGATGTGGGAAAGAAATTTCATCCTAAAAGCATTGGGGGATTACAGAGTTTTGCATAGAGCAATAATGTAAAATACAATCATTTTAAAGTGTGCGACTTGCTTTGATGAAGAAGTTGAATTTTATCATCTCTAAAGTTAACTCTAAAATTCTTTGATTCATGAGTATAAAACAGTAAATCAAAATGATTTAAATATGTGTCTCATTTTAATCTGAAAATAATTAGTAACAATTAATATGGGACTGTATTAAACATAGAAAGCCCTGCTTACAAAGCATTTTTAGACTCATATTAATCTGTTTGCAAAAAAGAATTGAAAGTAAAATTTTCTGTGACCCCGAGGACATTTGGTTACTGCTGTGTATTTTCCATCGTATCAGTGAAAATGTTAGATAATTTCCCATGAGTCTATGTGTGCTGTTTAATATCACCAATCAAATGTAGATTAAACTCTGTTCTTTTCCTCTCCAGTGAATTAAACTTTTGAGATGCTTCCATTAGTTGGAAAGACAATCATCTTTGCTAACTTTCCCGATCCTTCAGACACATGGGAAATCACTGAGACGATTGGCAAAGGGACTTACGGAAAAGTTTTTAAAGTGTTGAATAAGAAAAATGGCCAAAAAGCAGCAGTCAAAATTCTGGATCCAATTCATGTAAGTCACATTGCTTTGTTTTTTATTTTTTCCTGCTAATCAGCTTTTGAAAAAAAATCTGTATTAAACAGGCAAAATGTCAGTAGGCAACCTATATTGATTTATTTATCACAATGTCAGTTACAATTTGAAGACAATGTTGTTGTTTTTTTTTTAAAGTCTACTTGTTAGATTTTTCTTGTCTTTGTATGCTTAACATGTATAATAGGGCCCAATAAATACTTGATAAATGAATAAATATATAATACAATTAAGTGTATAAATAAATACAGCTCTTAACAGCTCAATAGTTGATTTAAGATCATTTTAGACTTTATAAAGTCGTCAGAATACAAACTCATGGGTCTAGACGTAATCCTAAAATGTCATCTTGACCAGATCTCCTTTTCTTCCTGAGCTTATTTAGGACTTCAGGCAGAATTCCTTTTATGCCAAACCAGAAATATATTTTTAATTAAATTTCTTTCAAAGAAGGGAAATTAATTTCCAGGTTTACTTAAACATTTCCGAAACAGAAATGGTGTTCCTTTATAATCAGGGTGAGATTCCTTGTGAAGAACAGAATTTCACGTTCAGCCCTTATGGCCTCTTTTCCAGCAGTGCCCCCAGCGGGATCTTTCTTTGCTTTTTTTGGAATAGCCATTGTGATAACGCACCTCATCTTTCTTTCTAAGTGAAGTAAGTCAGAAAGAGAAAGAAAAATGCCATATAATATCACTCATATATGGAATCTAAAAAAAAAGAAAAGAAAAAAGGATGCTATGAACTCTTCCACAGAACAGAAACAGAGTTGCAGACATAGTAAACAATTGTATGATTAATGGAGAAAGAGGGTGGGAAGGGATAGATTTGGGAGTTTGAGATTTACAAATGTTAGCCACTATATGTAAAAATAGATTTAAAAGTTTCTGCTGTATAGCACAGGGAACTATGTTCAATATCTTGCAGTAACCTTTAATGAAAAAGAATATGAATACAAGTATATGTATGTATATGCGTGACTGGGACATTGTTCTGTACACCAGAAATCGACACATTGTAACTGACTGCTCTTCAATTTAAAACAAAAGAGCATGATGTGGTGAAGGAGGTTCCTCTCTCTGGGAGTAAGAACTAGACTTTGGGAGCATCTTCAGCTTCTGGGACGTAGCTCTCCCATGGCATGCAGGGATCAGAATAATACCCATAATACCCAAACCTCTATTGAGAGCAGCTTCTCCTGTTACTCATCTCTTGCCCATGTGATGAGAGTGTGACATGATGGAAATGATGTGATGTGTGTGGGAAGGGCGTCTGAGTCCTAGTCCTTGTCATGGCTCTTACACTAACAAACTGTGGGACCTTGCAAAAGGTCTCTGGGACTCTGCTCACTTGGCGGTTTCTCTTCCTTCTTTGACGGTTAATTTCTGGTAAACCCATTATAGCTACATTGTTTCATATTACTTTGAGCAGAGGAGGGAGAGAGTGAGGGTTTCTTTCCAAGCCATGAATTAGATACACTGGAGGGGGAAAACTGAGAAGCACTAAAGCCCACCTGTAACTGATGCTGAATGTCTTCATATCCCCTGTTGGAAAGTTCTTACCATTTAAACCGAGCGAAGAGAGACACAGATTAAGCTGTACCAAAGTAATTTTGGGCTTTGCAATTATGGGTCTGTCCTCTGGCCTCTGCTATTATGGGTTGGGGTTCATGGTGGCAAAAGAAAGGCTCCAGCCTGATCCGTGTCTGGGCCCATAGTAAGTGTCTCTCTCCCACCTCTCTCCTTTATGGGTGAGAACAAATGGTTGGTGAATACATGTAGCTGTTATTCTTTCATAATTTATTCATGTTTGATATACTGCTAACCTTATAAATCATGCTTCTGTTCTATTGCTTTAATGAGACATACTGATTTCGTAACTATGGTATAAAGTGTGTTCTGTTGCTGCTTTTATTCTTGTCATGGAACATGTATATTTTTCTAAGAATTACTTATTTACTCTTCATTCATCATGCCACAAGTCAAATAAAAAAGATTTATAACCAGGAGATTATAATCTTCATAAAATAAATTTCAGTGCATCCAAGCATTTTAAAGAGTGACTTTTTGATTAAAAGCATCTTACTGTTAATGGATTTTGAACTAGTAGTTTTCTCTCCAAGAAAGGGATGAAATGAGCAGGACTAGAAGATAGTATGCATTAGGCTAGTCCTGAATCTTACACTAACCACCTCTGTGACTTCCCTGAGCTTTAGTTTCTTCCTCTCAAGTTAGAGCTCTGGTCTAAAACTGTTTCCAGCTCTGTGATTCTGGAATTAAATGTTAGATATTAAATGTTACCGTAAAATCTTTGAAGGTTTTTTCTTATTTATGACTCAATGAGTTGTTTTTTTTAATTTAATTTTTTATTTAGTTGCACACAGAAATAGCCTTTTATTTATTCCTTTTCAATGAAATTAACTAGAGATATATTTGATTAGCAGGAACATCACAGTTTCTCCCGTTAAACAGTCTAATAATAAATTTCAACACATGGTACTGACCCCAGTAAAAACTATCCCGACCTTGCTTTGACAAAATCAAATTCTGTATTTGATAGTCTTTAATATGCTTCTTTGACTCTACTCCTGTTTTTCTCACAGTTCTCTTCCTATGACTTTTTGAAACTAGGATATCGATGAAGAGATTGAAGCAGAGTACAACATCTTAAAAGCACTTTCCGACCACCCTAATGTGGTGCGATTCTACGGCATGTACTTTAAGAAGGATAAAGTAAATGGAGATAAGCTGTGGTTGGTCCTCGAGGTACGTGTTTCAGCGTTATTTTAGAGGTGGAAATTTGCAAGGTGGTCTTGGAAGGACTTCATGTTTATGTGACACTGACCCCTTAAAGTGGTTCTTCCAGTATGTTCCTGACTGGTCACATCCTCGGCAGAATGTTGTGCCGAGTTCTGGCCTTGCCATCTTGAGGCACATCAGGAAATGAAAGAAAATGGACTGAAGATTAAAATAAAACATTTCTGCAGTAAAAGACAAAAGAAAGTAGGGTTATTTTTCTGGCAGAAGAACAAGCTTAAAAGGGACTTCATTGTCACTTTTATTTATTCATCCATGTTTTGTTCAACTAATACGTGACTGATGCTCGGCACCGGGTGCTGTGATATAAGAGAAAATTTATGTAGCTGAGGCTTCATTAGACAAAAATGGTGAGCTGCGAATTTCTTTTTCTGGCTTCATTGAGTGCTAATGACATAAACTCTAGAACCAGGTATAGTTGGTCCTCTGTATCTGCGGGTTCCACGTGGTCAGACTCAAAACAGCTGTGATCGCGGATACAGAGGGTCAACTGTATGTACATTTATGGGGGAAAAAAAAAACCTTACTAGAAATGGTGTTGAATACCGAATAAGCTACCAAAGGGAAACTGTAGAGTCTTCTTTTCCAAGTCTGGAGAGTAGGTTGGGACAATTTTTTCAATGCAGAAGTCCTAGAAAGTGCCCCCTAGGGTAACTGCCAGTCCTAGAAGACTGTGGTTTTTCTAATGTTCACTGAATATTTTTACCCAAATAAACTAATCATTAATTCCAATAAAATAAAATAAAATTTATAAAAATGTTTGAAAGTTGCTTTTATTAAACTCAAAGCTAGTAAAACCTTCATTTGATCCCCCCTTAGCAATATCTATTGATTGTACTCACATTATTTTATTAGCATTTGACTGTTCCATTTATTTTTTGCAATGTGCTATTGGTTTTCCTGCAGCTCCACTGGTTTTCCTGCACAGTAATCATTTATAAATTATATTGTCTTTATACGTTATATTTTTTTCTCTTGCAGTGTTTAAATGATTCTACAAATAAGTCATCACTGTAGGAAATACTTGAAACTATAAGAAGGAACACTCTTAACACTGAACATATTTCCTTCATCTTTTTTGTATGTTCAAAATGATTGATAGTTTTGCTTATGAAATTATCCTTTTTTCCAGTTCATATAATTTCAGATAGACTGAATCATTTTTATCTTAAAGAAATAAATACATTCACTTGATTAATAAAAAGCGAGTAGAACTAAAGGGCTTATAATACAGAGCAGTACTAATGTAGATCCAGACACGTGGAGCCCCTTCTCCTGGGCTCTTGCTGTGCTGATTGCTGTACCTGGAAGTAGATGGCTGAGCTTGTCTGCTCTTCCATTTCCTAACCTGTGTTCAGAATCTTGGCACGATTATTAATTGCGGCTCTGGAACCCTGTGTCCTCCTACTTCATTATGGAGGTCTGCCGGGTATCTGACCTCTGATATCTCTCCGCTGCTCACCTGGGTGGAATCCATTGCTTCCCAGATGGTCCCTTGGCCTCCACTTTCCAGGTTTACTTCTCTGTTTTGCACATCATGTAGTTATGTGCCTTCCTCTCATTACCCAGTGCCCTGATGTCACCAGATCTTGAGTCCCTTCAATATGGTTTCTCTGGGGAACAAAACTTCCAGTCCTGTGTGCTGGTGTGTGTGTGTGTGTTTGTGTGTGTGGAGTGCTCAGGCAGGCTCCTGGATGTTGATGTTTTGTATGTGGGGTAAGAGGGTGTCAAGTCTTTTGATTAGAGACCTCCAAAGGATCCCTTGGTTTCTGCCCCTCCCCCACCCCCTCCGCTGTCACTGTTACCTCACCCTGTCTGGATTAATCTGCTCAGGTGACCTCAAAATAGCACCTTAGTGTGTGGCTTCCTCTGCTTTGCTAAATCAGCTACCGTTCGGTCACCTGTGTTCCATGCCAAAAAACTTTGTTGAGATCTTCTCTCCATTTCTTTCCCTTTTTGTTCTCTTTTCTCTTGTGGTTTTATACTGTTTTATTCCTTTATTAGCATTTTAATGGCGGTTCATGGGTGAGAGGAAATGAACTTATGTTTTTAATCTGCCATCTTTAATTGAACTATAGAGCCTTTCAAAATTATGAAATAGATTTCTCAAGAACCTTTTCAGAATCTGAAGCTGTGTATTATATTATTTTATAGCAGTTTAATTTTTTTTCACTTCATGTTTTTGTGTATTTGAGATGTAATGCTGTGCAAACCCTTAATGTAGTCTTGAATAAAATTTTGTATCTTTATATCCTTTAGACTATTTTTGATAAGCTTATCTGTAATTTTTTTCCATGTAGAATCATTGGCAAATTAGCATTTGAAGATTCAGGTGTTCTGCCTAATGTAGGCCTAAATGGGCAAGAACACAAGGTATAAATCTTTGTCCAGAGTTTAAAAATACTGAATGAGATCAATCATTGTCTTTTATGCCTAACCAACTCCTGTTCTAATTATATTGTCATTTCTCAGTGTTATCACTTGGAATTAGGTAAGAACTGGAGACTCCTAATCATAGTTAAATGTTCTTTGGCAAGAGCAGAAAAGATTGATTAAAATGGTTTTGGAACATCCAGTACAAGCAAAGTGGCTTCCTGATATAATGAATCAGCAGAGACTTAACAGCTTCTTTGAACTTTGTCCTTATAGTTTATTATCAGATGGAGGCATTGTAAATATCCCTAAAAGGCTTGAGAAAAAAGAGTAAATGGTAGTTTATTAAAATAGTGTTTCAGACATCTGATCTATCTGAACTTACAAAGTGGGGAAAAAACATAAAATAAGAAGTTGGCAATCTGTATATAAGACAATTGATTTGCATATGTAAAATAGGCTAATTACATATACACATAAGTGGCTAGATGTACAATTACCTGATTTATAAACATGAATGGTGCAGGTGCTGCTTTAGAGGCACTTTCAGAAAATTGGCTTGTGGCATCAATACTTTATTCTACAAAATGACTGCTAATTATACCTCTTATCATAATAAAACCCAAATAGATAATTTTGCACGAGAATACCAAAAGCATGGCCGAAGAGGGGCTGTGGTGTTACCCAGAGAGTCATGCTAACAATGCTAGACTTCTCCTGTGAATCTGCATAAAGAAGGTGAGTCCTGGAGGGGCTGAGCCACCAGTGACACCCTGGCTTGTGGGGTGGGGCAGGGGCTGTACCCGCTTAGACAAACTCCTACCCAGAGATTCTTCATCATGAAAAAATCATTTTATTTATAGTTCAATCTAAAATTGAAATTCTAAGAAGAAAATACTTACCCAGACGTTCCCTGTGTATTCTATATTCTCTATTCTTTAATTACGATTTTTGAATTATTTCTTCCATTTTGATACAATATTTCTCCTTCCTGTATTTGTTGTTTTTGTTGTTACACTGTAAATTTTTGAGCATGAATGATATACAGGGCTTTGTTTAGGAATTATTTCCTTCTAAATTCTCTTTATGTTCATTTTCAGAACATACAGAAGAGTCCTAGTTGCTAGCCCTATGAAACTCCAATTGCACACTTGTAGTGAAGCTAGCTAGGAAGAAAAGGGGTAGAAAGTTTTCTGCTGTGGGAACTGTTTTTTTTTTTTAACAAATCGCCTGTGGAGATATTTATTGTCACTTAGTACTTTACGTTTCCTGATGATGTCGGCATAAAGGGAGGACTAATGTTTTGTTGTTGTTGTTTTATTTATGTTTCATTTTGAAATACCATGCTTAGATTAATTTCTGCTAATTGCTATCATATTTCTTGATTTACGTTCTTTGTAAAATGTAAAACCTCTTTTGCTTTGTGTTTCCTTTAACTCCTAGTATCTACTGTTGTGGGTCCAGAGCAGGACGGAGGGGGACCTCAGGAGGTAGGAGTTGGTTAGGTTTCTGCATGTGCTTATCACTAAACCAGGAGGCTGAAAAACAGCCAAAACTGAGTTAAATCAGCCTGGAGTCAGGCATTTGCTACTGATGAGCACAGAGGGCAAAACTGAGATTTAACTGTAATTTCCCCCTTTTTGTTTGGATGAACAGCAACACCTTAAGTATATAAGTAAGGAATCCAGTCTTTTGTCCCACAGTCTGTTTGTCTAGTGTGTCCTCAGCCATACTGGAATCAAAACTCAGAGTTAGGAAGGAAGGAAGGACATCTTTCTGTTAAAATATGCTGTCCCTCATAATCCAGTCTTAGCTATAATTGCTCCTTTCATGGTGGGAGTACAGACTGCGTTCTGTTGTTTATCTGAATTAGTCCTGATTTGTTCATTCTTAATAGTGACACTGCTTTCTCTCATTGCTTTCCAATTACAGCAATTTTTCTATTTGAAATTATATCCTTTTCAAGAGCCCAAAGACTGGAAATCACAGGTGGTGTTTGGAAGCACAAAACTTCAGTAAATAGTCATAAAGCCCCTCAAATGCACATTTCTGGTAACAGAAGTGGTTTTCATGAACTTAAATATGACTTTCATATGTCATACATTATTGGTTATTCTGTTTTCATACTTATATCTAGTAAGTAAGATACGGTCCATCATGAGGAAAGGAAAAATATAGGATGGCAGAAGGAAAATGAGTTAGAGTGACCTAGTGGTTTCTGTTTGTTCCGCTATTAACCCTTCCATGTTTCTGCCCTGGAGATAATTCATACACGGAAGGGGACAAGAAGCCCCTGCAGGCTTGTACATGGCGGCAGAGGCGGGCAGTCAGGGGAAGCAGGGAGGAGTAGAAAGCTGGGCTCTGAGCTGCTCTAATAGCACAGTGTCATTTTTTTCCTTTCTGTAGCTGTGCACAATTGCAGTGGAGCAGCAGACTGACACGGTGATTCCTTTCATGTTCTTAGGGGCTGGAACAGCCATTCCCAGCTCTCCTATAAAGGGCTGTTATTTGGTGTACTTGCAGCAGAACAAGACAGACAATTACCTAGATTCATCTCATTTTATTTTTTGTTTAAA